GTGAGGGGGGGTGAGGGGGGGGGGGCAGTGCGGCGACGACTATCGGTTGAGAGGAAATTTATTGGAACTGTTTACGAAATGCTGCGCAGTCAGGGCACGAGAGACCGGGCTGACAACCGCTGCTGTGGCTGAGAGCCCAGGAAATGCCAGACTATATTTTTTCCCATCGGAGACGTGACACAAAAATTGAAGAGAAAAGATTTAAGAGGACTAGTCTGTGGGGTTGGGCTTGGAAAACTCCACATCACAACTGGCAGCTGGCAGCCAGCTGTGGGCTGGTCCTCTTTGCTTTTCATCTTTTGCATCGCCCCTTTGGGTGACACTGCTGTGAGCCCACTCCAGGGGGACCCCTTACTATCTAAAAACATGTCAACATGTACAATGCGCATGTTTCTGTAGCACCCCTCTCAGTACGAAACACGAAAGTGTAAAACGCAATCGCATTTTCACCTGCCGATAATCGATCTCCATCTGTATGCTGAATAGGGATGGTGTTTCTCTGGAGTGAACGCACACAGCTGACAACTGAAGAAACCACGTTGCACCGACCAAACCACTACACTATGAAAAATTGGGTCCCCAAAAAACAAAAAGTAAAACACGCAAAGCCAAAACCATACAACACCCAGAAGGCACTGAGTGGAGAATTGAACGGTTTTTAAGTTTTTAATGTGAAGACAACAACAACAACAACAACAACAACAATAACCCACCTACTTCCGGAACAACATCGCACCCCGTGCGATAAAATTTTCAACAACGAAAAAATAGAAGAAAAAATCGATCGCATCCCCGTGCGTTCTCTCGCATCCTTAACGGTATCCCGTTCAAGATGGGGCGTGTTGAAGTCGTCTTGACCGTAAGGATTGGGGGAAACCACCTCTGGCTGGATACTGGACTCATCGACAAGTGCGGACGCATTTAGTCTACCCCTCGCTGTTGCACTGCTGTTCCCAACAGCAGTATTGTACTACAGCAGTACCAGCTATACAACGATATCTCCCCCATGGGCACAAACAACAGGCCAAGACAGCAGTTAGTTGACCACCTTGTGCAGACACCATCTGACAAAATACAGAGAAGGAAAGTGTCAGGAGGAGGGGATTCCTTCCTGGGATCCTGGGATCTGCTGCACTACAAATCTACAAAGCTGTTCGTATGGCAATACTTGTACGTACTACGTACTACGTACGCATAGCTTGAGGAAAAATAAATACACACACAGGAAGACTACCTATTCGAGATATACCCACAGCAGTCATTAAATACGCACACAGAAAGACTACAGCAGTAGTAGTGCCCATTCGAGATATGTATACCCACAGCAGTCATTACTTGTTTTTTTTTTTTTCTTAATACAATGTATGACACAACGAATCCATCTCTATAATAGAAAAGAGTCAGAGACAGATTAGCAATGAATTCATAGCGTCAGAAAGTACCTGTGTCTACGGTTTCCCAGACAGCATATAGGGACATCTCCCCTGCGGGTAACAGGCTCAACAAGACAGTTTTTTGCTGCTGCTGTTGCATCTACTGCTGCTTCCAAAATTAGCAGAAAAAAGAAAAAATATCACCCGCTTCAATCGCGATGACGGGACCACTGGGACCGAGTTGAAGTCGTCTAAACCATGAGGAATAGGGAGGAAACGCGCTCGACACTGGACTCGTCGAGTCCTTACACACTAAGAGAAGCGGTGATGCCAGGGGGAACAAGAACATCTACAAAGTGCGCCTCATCCTCGTTTGCGTCCGTGGTTGTACATGCAGTCTCTTTAATAGTTTTTGGTGTGTGTCAGAGACCACCTCTGCGTGCGTGGAACACGTGTGTTTCGGGGGCCCGCGAATCCCGCAGAAAGAAGAAGCTACAGAGTTACGATCACCGACAGACCCGCACGGGGGGGGGGCTTAACCTACCCCCTGGGACGAAACGATCACCCCAACGCACACCCCTTGCTCAGACTACTTCGCGGGGTGAGGGCGGGGAGAGGCCGTTGTCTTCTGCGGCTGTGGACGTGGCGAGGGTGAGACCCTCGTATGCAAGTACCGTCGACATCACATCACTTTTCGGCAGGCACACACCACCATCCAGCTCCGGTGCAAAACGTGCGGCTGCATTCTACTTCGTGCATTGCTGCGACATTGGCTACCACCATGCGCTGCACTCTGTTGCTGACAAGTTGACAGGGGTCAACACAAACTGCTGCAGCCTTGCGGTACGTACTCGTAGCTCTTCCGATGGTAGAATACGTACGTGCGCAAATATACTGCTGTCTGCTGCAAACCTGACTCTCGCCTCTTCGAGAATCGGTGCCTCCGTAAGCGTTGACCGCACGTGCATGCAGCCAACACCGCTGGGACGCGAACTCTCTGAAAAGCCAACACGGCACATGGTACTACGAGAAACCCGCTTCAGTCGAACCTGTAGGCGTGGGCTTGCGACGCTGTGTCCTGGTGACGTGATTTACTTCCTCGCTCGCGTGGTGCCTGTGTGAGAGTGTTGAGTGAGAGAGAGCAATAACAAAAACAAAAACGTCAAAAAAAAGAGGAAACGCGCACGAGCAACGAGAGAAAAGAGCCAGTGCAGAAATATAAAATGGCAAAATGGCGGGCCGGGACGGGGAAAAAAAAATGGGCCGCCTCTCCTCCTCTCCGCCTCTCGAAATTGCTTTCTACTGGTCATCAATCGAACACTGGGGGTGTGTACGTCACCGCCGTAATACCTTGTTTGTTGTGTTGGACACCTGTGCTGGTCAAACGGAAGCATACAAATGAGAGTGCTGTTTTGGCTTCGGATCTTCGGATCCAACCCGGGAACAACATCAAACCACTTTCCCCGCCCCCCCATGGCGAAACAAGCACTCTGACATTCCGTGCAACTCCCCGATGGAAAAAAAAAAAACGCAACGCACCAGCTTTAGCCGCTTTAGGCGCGCCAGTTCTAAGCTCCAACGTACACACACCCCGTTTTCTTGCGCCGCCATCGAAGCCTGTTGGGTTGTTGGAGCTCCCGCCTGGTGTGTGTGGGACAGCTGCTGATTTCGGGTAAGCACGACAATGGTTCTTGGGGGAAGTGATTCTGTTGGGCCAAATAGGGTGACCCCTAGTCTGTTATACTTGTAGCTGCTGTGACTAGTGACCTTACATGTTTGTTGTGCGAAATGATCCTCCCACACACAGGCTTAGCCCCTTGGTGTCTCCCTGCGAGGCGTGATAACCACCGCCCCCCAACAGGCATCTATAACCAGCAAACGACTGCGTGAGCTTTGGAATGCCAGTTTTGCATGCATGCTGTACTCGGTGCAGCATGGTGTACAGCACTCGAAGGTACCAAAAGCCGATGACTAATCTCGAAAACGACCGCGAAGAGCACCCAGCACTCACGCGCTCGAGATGCACATTTTGACTATATGCACATGCATACGTAAGATGACATCAGCACGTAGTTGGGAAGTGTTACGCAGGAAAATATCTCTTTTGTCCCGCACAGAGCAGCGGTTGGAGCTTATCTCCACCAGTATACATCATGTAGTCTACCTCTAGACACACACCTCTCTCAAACCAAGACAAAACTCCCGTTACTCTTATGTTCAAGACAAGACACGACGGGTGCTTCGACAGCTCTGCGCTGTACTGGTCCCGATCTCTAAATCTTTCATCAGCAGAGGACAACCCGTAGGACAGACGACAGAGTCCAATGATGGGAGCAAAAAAAAAAAACGTAGAAGCCATAGTAGAGCAGCGACATGTACGGTTTTCACGGTTAACCCCTTTGGGTCTAGGCTGGACTGTCAGTTTTTTTTTTTTCTTAATATGACACAACGAAACCATCTCTATCATAGAAAAGAGTCTGAGACAGATTAGCAATGGATTCATAGCGTCAGAAAGTACCTGTATGTCTACGATTTCCCAGACAGCATATAGGGACATCTCCCCGATTTTTTTGTTTGCGCCAAAAAAAAAAAATGAGAGCGAGAGCGAGCGGGAGAGAGAGAAGTGCAGAGAAATACACCAGTGTACTTCTGCACACGCAACAGCTATCTCCACCTGTAGGCCATGAGAGAAGCCGGCGACAGGGTGGTGGCCACAGACAGGGTCGTAGAAGGGTTGATGGGTGGTCGCGCTGCGGTCAGTAGGGCAGGTTAGCTGTGTAGACTTCGAAATGATCAGTCGTCTAGCTGCCTCAACTAGTCTATTTTCGGTATATTGTAAATGATCAGTCCAGAGAGGGTAAAATGATCAGTGAAGACCCATAGCTGTTATTTGTACTTCTGTACTTCTCTGTTCTCTGTCCCCCCCCGAAATGTGCCCTGCCAGCTCTCTAGAACTCCTGTGTTTTTCAAACAACAAGCACATCCACCAGCACACACCTGTACCTCGTGGTTTCCTAGGTTCGGGCGAGGGTGGTATGTGTGGCGCTACGAGTGTGGATGTGTTGCTGATATGTTTTACTCGTCTACAGCAGTAGGAGTAGTGTTGTTGCAGCGTTCGTTGTAGCTGCTGACACAATGACTGCTGGATCTTGGGAACGATTTTCAAATTGTTGGGAACCACGATATCCTCGATATCTGGGCTTCGGCAGGGATTGCAATATCCCTCCCTTTTGCTGCCCTCTGCTCTTTGCAGCAGTGGCTTCCTACGTTCGGGCGAGTGTATGTGTGGTGCTGCGAAAGAACACATATGTATGTATGTATGTATGTATGTATGTATGTATGTATGCACACACGCGTTCATTGACATGTGCATACGTTGAGAGATTCATGATTTGGCATTGATTGGCCCCATTCCCATTCCCCGAGACCTTGATATTACCCGCTGTCACTGAAGTCTGTTCATTGGTCAGCCGGTTAGCGCGGGTCCTAATAATCTAGACACACCTACCTATGGACTTGCCAATACACGGCGCGAAGGGCTGCAGGGCGGCAACTCCACGACTTGCCACTACACCAGCATTTGCAAATGATCAATCAATGATCAGTGAGAACGCCTGAAGACTCAAAAGGGTTAAATCTGTTGCTGTGGGTCCGTGCTGTGGAGAGGCTGCAGCTGCGCGGTTCGAAAAAGTCCGCACAATCTGACTAAAAAACACTGCAGCACTCACCATCAAGACCCAAACCTCCTGAGCTCCTGTCGGTGGGTGCACAACTGCAGTGTTTCACACCACTAACAGTGTAGCTGCCTTGGAACGAACCCACAGTGCGTGAGATTGGGGATGTGGCGGCGTGTAAGCAGTGACGAATGGATACAGGATCGTGGAGTTTTTGGACCCAGCGACAATCAACCTTCTTAGTTGCTGTCACAGCCCCAGCAGCAAGCAGATCTGAGCGCTGGTCCATGATGCCCTCCACTGAGATCGGGACTCTCTGGGCCATGCTTTCTTCTCGGCTTTACAACGATTTTCACCCTGCTGACCCTCCCCACCTCCCTGTGTTGGCGCCACTTCCTGCCCGTCCCCGTCCTTGGTCCGAAGTACCCGCGTGCTGCTGGGGACGATTTTTCGGCCTTCCATACAAGAACACGAGGATCCATTTACTACGCCAATCGCGAGACCAGCTGGTTGTGCGGGTCGGGTTTTTGGCTCAGATCCGACTCGCGGCTTGCGTTTGCGTTTCGGAGTTCCAGCGGCGGAGCGGTATCGTCCAAGACGTCTACGTCGCGTACGTAAACAGCGTTTTTTCTGAGCACGCCCCCCCCCCTCACGCGGGTGCAGGGAGATCGAGCAGCTCAGCATTCCCGGTGCAGAGTTTAAGGAAAACGCAACCGAACCCCCCGTAAAGGATCCCTCGGTGGCGGCTCCACTTAGGCCGCTGAGCAGGTGCAAAATAGCTACAGTAGGCGCGTCAAGGACCCGCAAAACGCGCAGCACGTCGACAACCGGGCGAGGCTCTCTTCTCCATCCTGGAAGGGCGCGGGCTCTAAGGGACTTAGCGCGGCAGCAAGAGCTTAGAAAAATCTCGGTGCAGCGCCACATGCGGCGGTGGATGGTCGGCTGTTCCCACTGCTGGTGAGACCGAACGGCGGCGGCATATTATAACACGCTTGTTCTGAGCCGGGAGAAGACTCTTGCGGGGGTGGGTCACCACCGCCAAAAAAGACTCGGGTTTTTTACTAGCGGAACACGACCTTCCCGCCAAACGCGACGCGGGCGGCACCGCCTGTTTGCTTCGCGGGTGGCGACACACACACACGGCACAACCAGTTCCGTTTCGCGACGACGGGGATGAGCTCCGCTAAAGCGGCGGCGTTCGTCGCGCTCATGTTCGCCCTCGGGGTGGCGCTGGACAGGACGAGCCAGTCGGCCCTGGAGGAGTTCCCGCTGCCCTGGATGGTGGCCACTCTTCATTTCGGGGCCGGGTTGCTTTGGATATTCCCAGCTTGGGTGAGAGAGAGAGGAGACGTGTGGCATGTGGTTCAACTCGTAAGACGTGCGGCGTGTGGTTCAGTTGGAAATAACTCGAAGTAAAAGCTTCCGACGTGGGTCCCGAGTATCGGGGCGCAACGTCGCGTGAGAGCTTGGATCTGGGCTCAAAGTATTTCCCGAACACTGCCGTGGAAAACGATTTCGTGCGCGCAACAAATAATTCGACTCCACGGTCAACTACATAGGGAAAAGGGAGACTGCTGAACTCGTCTCGCAACAAAAAAGTAAGGTAGCCCCCGTACAGAAGTACGACGGAGCAAAACGAATATTTTCTCTGTGTGTGTGTGTGGCCTTCGCCCTTGTGTGCCCGCGGCGGGTGCGTTCGAAAACGTTCCGGAAAGTGCATCATCTGGCTTCCAGAATGACTAAATAGCTGGGACGGCGCATGCAAAAGAATCGAACAACGATTTTACCCGGCGCTGCTGCTGCTTTTCGTTTTGCCGTTGTGGCGCAGACTATCGGGATGCGACAAACCCCTCGCCTCAGCGACACGCAGAAGAAGCGGGTGGCACCCTTGGCCTTCCTCCACGCCGCCGGGCACCTGTGCGTGCTAGGGGCGGGGTCGCTGGCAGTGACGCAAGTGTTTCAGGTCAGCCTGTAGAACTGCTCTCCTTGTTTTTTCCGCGAGGAAGGGTGGGAGGTGGTGGTACGTGCCACCTCGAAAAGGAGGGGCGGGAGGGGAGACACCACGGCAAGCTTTTTTCGCCGTGTGTGATGGGTGCCGGGCTCTGCCTGTTTTGAGTTTCGTTCCTGAGGCTGGCTGGGGTTGTCGTTCGAGGGACGGGACACTCGCAGCGGCGGGCCTGGCATTTTTGACGTCTTTACGGTGACAAGCCTGTATTTATTGTGCGCGATGCTAAATAGCGGAAGAAATATAATCGTTTTGTGTTTTGTCAAAAAAAAAAATTGTTTTTTTTGGAAGACAGGTACAGTGGCGGCTACGGTTCAAAGAGACTATTTTAAGAGAAAGTACCGATTTAAGAGATTCAAACTGGCTTGTCACGACCATGAGAAATACATACATTTCACAGTACGGTTTAAGAGAAAACCGGATTTAAGAGAGAAATACTGGCTTGTCACGACCCTCTCTTAAAAGCGTAGCCGCCACTGTGTAACAAACTCATCCTGACCCCTCCCCTCCCTTCAAACACCCACGCTTCTGTCACCCTTGTCCTCCTTGCCCGGGTAGGCAGCGGAGCCTGTGGTTGTCTCCGTGATGTCTTTGGTCGTTGGGAGTGGTGGTAAGCAGCATCTCGTGGCTTGGCTGGCCCTGGTGCTGGCGACGGCGGGCGTGCTCATGACGTTTCGAGAGGTGAGGGGTTTTGTTTTGGCCGCGAGAGGTGGGATTGACTATGGTTGTCTCGAGGAGACTAGCAAGAGTAAAGAGCCAAAACCCTCGATGCTTGCCCTTCTCTCCGGGGGTCAGAAGAGTATTTTCAAGCAGTACAGACATACCACGCAATGATATGTTACGGTAAGTATGTTTTGTTCCCCTACCAACAAGACGGGTTCGGTTGGTATCGAGGCTAGAGTCAAGCATCTCCTGCGAGACAAGCCAGGTGTTTCGATGGATGGTTAAAGAGGGACCGCTTGAATATGACCGAGAGGGGTTGGGTAATCGGTCTAAGAGCGCCCCGCACGAGCACAAGGCCCGAGAATAGTACAAGCCCTCGGGTGCTTCCCCTGGCTAGCGAAGTAGGCAACCTTTTGCGTTGTTGCGATCTCACTTGTGTGCGTACATGGCTTGAGTTTTTCCCAATGGTCGATTCGCTGGAAGAGCAAAAGCGTGACTTTACATGCGCGACGGTGATTTGATATTCAAATGGCGTATCGGGAGGTAAAGACTTCAGTTTAGAATCAAGCGAAAGAGGACTCCTTTTTTGGCGCCCCTTTGTTTGTTGCGTGTATTGAGGTCGACCGTTCGAAAACCGTCCTCTTTGTTGTTTGCTCGCTTTTTTTTTTCTTTTAATCACGAGCACGATTCCGGCCTTGCAGCCTGGCAGGAAGGTGGTCTCGTTGTAGAGCGCAATATTGGAACAAGGTAGCAAACAACGACGGCCTAACGTTATTTCCACTGCGCTGCTGCTGCTTCTGCTGCCTTTTGTTTTGCGAAACTTATCGGCCGGTGTTGGCAGGGCATCACTGCTGGGTCGGTGGTGACGAACTCGGTTGCAGCATTCGCCGCCCTCCTCTCCTCGGCCCGCACGGCACTCTCCGACCAAGTGAGTTTTGTCCCGTTCGCTTCGGGCCCCATATTCGCTGTATGCCGCGCCGCCCGGAGTTTGTTTTTGCCTTGTATCCATATCCTTCGTGTTGCGGCAAACGTATTTGTAGTGCTGCGGCAGTAAAAGTTCCCTCCATGGTGCCGTCTCGTCCGTCTGGACGCAGACGATCGCTGACGTCCGGGCGTTTCTGATATGGAGGTTCACCGGCGTGCCTCCCTATGATAGCTGTTTATCTCTCTTATGTTTGCGCATTGAGCTTCCTGCATTGCGCCCCTTGGCCCTAAAGTGGACCGGACCTACCGGACGCCGCCTGTCTTAGCTTCGCTTGGACAGATTTTTCAGCGAATGAGTGTCCGTGTTCAGCGCATAATCTGAGCGATTGCTTTTGGTGCGGGTCGAAAACGATAACATGTGTTTCCCCTACCCATCCTGAGAGTTAGATAGCAGAGTTAGCCGGAGGCGGGAATGTCGCCGTCCTAAGGCACTGCATTGTACCAGTTTCTTTTTTCACGGCTTGGGTCTGCGCAGCACAGCTCTGGTTGTAAACACCCCCCCCAAGTCCAGTCTCTTCGTGGCTTCTAAGCTCCGATCTGATGCCTCACGGAAGAACCCGTTAGCCCTGTCCATTTCCCATCGGCCGTCCTCCCCCGCGTGTTTACGGACAACTGGACACAAGCGTGAACGAAACGCAAACGTAGAGGTCATGCTTTTTGGAAACCTGGTTGTTTTCTCGAGCTTTGGTCGTACTTGGTGTGTGCACTTATTGCTCCCCTCTTCTGCGGAGCACGCCGTTGCGTCGCTGCTTCCTCCAAGGATGAGGCTAAGTTTCCTGTCTCGTCTTGTCTGTGTACTCCTTGCTCGCTGTTCTTGGCTCCAAACTTGGGGGTGCGTCTCAATCAGGTGATGGTGGAAGAGGCCGTTGCGCTGAAGGGACAGCTGTGCTCCATGGTCTTCGTGTCTGGAACGCTGTTCCTCATCCCCTTCGCTGTCATTATGGAGGGAGCTCAGGTGAACATTATCGACACCGATCTCTAGGGCAGAAGGAAGGGGAAACAGGCTCTTATCGCCATCGGCAGCTCCGCCAGTCTCGTTTCATGTTTTTTCTTTTTCGGTCGATGTTCCGCCCGTCTTCTTCGTTTTCTGAGCGTTTTGGGGCCTTGATCACGGGCAGCGCTACGCGTTGGCTGCAGCAGATCACCCTCTACGAGCGTGCTTGCGTTTGATTTTGACAACACCTGCTGATGCTGACGCCATCGTTCCTTGTTTTGTCTTCGACCCCCAGCTGTCTGAGCAGTGGGACAGAGCCTCGGCCTCCATCGGCAGCACCGCCCTTATCGTCAAGCTCATCCAGGGCGGCACGCTGCTGTACATGTGGAGCGAGTGCCTGTTCGGCCTGGTCGAGGAGGCCGGCGCGGTGGCCGCGGCGGTGGCCGTCGCCGTCCGACCGGTGGCGGTGTACGCGTTTTTCGCGGTGAGTGCATGCTTTTCTTGTCTGGCACTACCTGTGAAGGAAACGAGGCGAGGGGGACCCCCCCTCCCCCTCAACAGAAGTTGCATTATTTGTATGTACTTGGGGAAGTATATACCACTCTGTTGCGAAATATAATTGCTCTTGTACCCGAACGGCACGTATATTTTCAAACATTAGGTTTTGGTGGAGCATCGCTTGAAAATTGAAATGCCCGCCACGCGAGTTGTCCAGTTGCAATTGTTTTGGGCGCGGGGGGGGGGGGGGGGGGCGATTCCGACCATCGCATGGTGGCTTGTGTTACGGTGAGTTAGTACAGGGAGCTTTCGTCGTATTGTTTGTGTGTGTTGAAGGGGTCAATCACCTACGCACAGCAGTAGATTGCCGTGGGTTTCCTTCATGACAGGTGGGAGTGTTCCTCTGATCGATTTCCCGCTAGACTTCAGGGGCACGGATGCCGACGAGTGCGCGTGTAGAGTTGAACACATCTCCCGCATGGATCCACGAAGATGTGCAACTGCCCTCCATGTTGCACCCTCTCGGTGGCGCAAGTACAATATGGTGTGTTTATTTTCCAAACAGATGGACGCCCCACTGATCCCCTTCACGCCACTGTTCGCGGTGAACGATATCTATCTAATTAGTTTGGTACCGCGCGTGAAGCATTACTTTTCGATTTTTTTTTATTGTACCGCGTTTTTTCTTGCAAGGCTAGAATGTACCATGTTGTACGCAAAGTACGTTGTTGTTGGCTACGTGTTTTCAAGCCCTGTTTTTCTACCAGAACCTGTATCGTCGTACAGACAACGAACGGTAGGCAGCAGGCACTCCTGAAAAAACTGCTTACATATACATATATATGCGGTTGCTTATGTTGTCTTCGCCCTTCTCAACTTCCACGAAAAACAAACACCCCACAATCACGTTCTCAACTCCCCAGTCGCAACAACCATCGTCATGCGCCGACTCGCTGTTTCCTGGATGTACGGGATGGGGGCACGGCGCGCCTCGCGTTCGAAGTGTAAATCGTCTTCGCTCCGTGAGTATTCGCCCACCACGATTTTTCCGAGCCCAAGTCATCCCCAACAAATAAACCTCTCGGCCTTTCGATTTTTTTTTTTTTTTTCAGGCTTTCTTGGGAGGGAGCTGGACGACGTGGGGATTGGCGGGAAGCTGTCTGACGTCGGTAGCGGCCGGCTTGTTTGCGTACGCTAGTCGCCGATTCGTGCTCAAGCCGCCAAAGACAAAGGGGCAGTGAGCTAGCTACGTGAGTTTAGAAACACGCCTTCCGGGCAATATCGGGTGTATCAGAATGTTGCATAGGGTTGATTTGGTCGTGGGTTCCTTGTTGCTGTTGTGCGGAGTGTTGACAAAAAATGTGTACCCAAGTCGGTTGATCTACTCAAGGAAGAGAACCGAAGGTTGTGTGTTTGGTTGTTTCTTTTTTTTTTAGTTTGTAGTTGCACGCCTATAAATCTGCGGTTGTTTTTTGTGAAATAGAACAGCGTGGGCGCCAGGAGCATCACGCACTTGCTGGTGTGCCGATTCTAGAAGGAAGGCACCTACTTAAAATAGCGTTGCGTGATGGTGGCCTCATTTTGCGCAGCAATAGCAGCAGTAGTTTGGTCTTCCCGTTGATGTGTGTTTCTAGGATTTGATTTCACGGTTGGCACGACGTACCTCATGCGGTGGGGTTGGTTCCCTCAATAGTGCCGCCGGTTGAAGACTGCCTGCCACTGCGCGGTATGGTGCCGTTGACTTCGAGTGGGACGGGTGGAATATTAGTATTCCCATTCCAATTGTCTCATTCTCTGAAGAGAGCAGTGCCGAATGCGCCCGGTATAAGTGCCGGTGATTCTGGCGGACACATACCGGAACTACTGATGGCCACGTTGATTGTTTTTTTCGCTTTGAAGAGTGCAGAAGAGGAGGCAGTGAATAGAGGTCAGAGGTCAGAGCGTTTCTTCCGTGTGAAAACAAAAACACGATTTTCTGCAGCAGCGTGCAAGCATTAGACTGTCTTCCTTAAGCGCTGAAATTGTTTTTTTCTGTTCAATTTGGAGATGCCGTCTTTTTTTACAAGGGATGCTCGTATGTGGCATGCCACTACACGGGGTGTTGGTTCGATGGAATCTGCGTTGGTTGCGGAATGGGTGATCGTCAACACACGAAAGAGAAGAGCTGTAGACGCGCACCAGCGGTGGGGAGTTGGGGGGGAAGAGGGGCACCCATGATCGCGCCGTTATGGCGTTGTACAGCAGCAGTACATAGCCGTGTGACTTTATGGGGACCACGCGTGTGTCCGTACCCCAGCCGGCATGAACACACCACTAGGTTTCCGCCGAAGGAACCAGGCTTTCGCACCAGCGCCTCGCCAAGCGCGAAAAAGGGCTGTGCGTGTGGGTAGTTCGTTCGGAAGTCGCATCCTGCTGCTCAGTCAGAGTGTAATCGAGTAGCTTGTGTGCCTGAACGTACGTGCTTGACACAGCTTCGAGTTAGTGTGAGTTGCAGTTCGTTTGGTTCCTGGTGTGCTGCTCACTTCCAGGGACAGCTTTTGGCGGGTGCTTGACAAGTTTGTTTCCGCAAGCTCTGCTCCTTCGCGCGGAGCGCAGCAAGCTCTTCACCCGCCACGAAACGGTTCATATATATGTAGATACCGCCGCGAGAGGATTGCGGCGTTTCACGAACGCCGGGCGCGTGATTTGCAGTAGCGTCGTTGCCATTCGACGCCAACTCCGGCGAGGAGTCGGTTCTTTGGCCAAACAAGCTAATTTTAGTCCCCCGTTCGGTCTATAGCCGTGGCTTCTTTTTTTTGCCGACCTTCCTTGTCCGCGCGTGGAGGCGCTAACTCCTAGATAGCTAGATAGAGTACTGCTGCTGCCGCTGCTGCTGTTACGTTTTTCGTAGGCGTAAGGCGTTCCCTGTTGTTGCCGGTTGACGTAACGTAGCAGTATTTGGTAGGAATTATATGTGGGAATGGCATCACAAGACACGTGCGTAGTTTTTTGCGGTAAATTGCAGGTCCTCTTGTCAGTCCTCTGTTTACTTTCCCCCCTACCAGAAATTTCGTTTTAGGCGTGCCAGGTACCCGCGGGTACGCTGGTAACCAGGTACTACGCTGCTGGTCTGTCCGAAGAACAAATTTCCGAGTTGCAAATTTCGACAAAAAATAGGGTTATAAATACCAATTGCTGTTGTCTACAATGCATTATAGTATGTATACTTGAACGGGTAGACTTTCTATGATTGTCCCTGAAGCGAAACAGCGAACGGACGGAACGAACGGACGTGCTTTTTTTCTGTTTCTACAAACCAATCACGCTGTTCTGTCCTATGTTCCGACCGCGGTATTTACTTGGGGCTCGTTTTTGTTCGCATCGCTTGTGGTGGTGATGGTCCGGCGGTGATGGTCCGGTGGTGATGGTCCGGTGTTGGTAGTGTTACTGGTGCAACTTGTACAATGGTATGTGGAGAGTGGGGAGCCCTCGGCAGGCACGTATGCATAATACATACATACAACATACATACGTAGAAACCCTCCGCATGGTTGGCGTGCATGGTACGTAGTGTGCTGGTAGAAGAGCCAGTGATGATCACTTAGGGAGGGTCACGCGTTGACTGAAGCTCCCTTTTTTCCCTCCACACCGGACTAGCCCCCCCTGCTCGCTTCGTGTGCTCGCGTAATCTCGTGCAGGTATCGTCGTTCGAGCACCGTCGTTTCTCCCTCTGCCGACTGAAAAACGCCAAATGGTACGCATATGCATACAGACAGTGCATAATATATATGGTGTCCGGAATCGATCGGAATAATATAGGGTATCCACATATGGATTGACGCGGAATTTTGACCTTTGAGGATTGACGCCAACATAAAGTGACGGTTGAGGGTTTTGACGGGAAAAATTCGCACCGCGTGTGCCCGTTGACACGTGAGAGGTGAAAAAAAAAAAATGGTGGAGGTAGAGTTCAAGGTTGGTTCGGGCTGCCACCCAGGGTCGACATTCCGAAGCGAAGACTCACACCCCCAGGCTCCCAGGAGACTAGGTGTACCCCTTCGCCTCATCCCGCCGACCTTCCCTCCTTTGCCGCGGCGACTTTTCCCAGGCGTCAAACTGCGACTTCCCAGGCGTCAAACTGCCGTTCGTTGCTGATGAGTAAGGCAGCTGCTCGCTGCACTGCTGTGTATATACCGACGTCACTGCGGCAGCAGAGCACCGAACCCCGTGAGGGGGCGGGCGAAATGCACCTACTGACTGGCAAAGTCCGTGTACCCTCCCTTACTCCTCTCCATGTGCTCCCTTCGAGGGCGAGACTCCCCCAATCACTCCCCTGCCTATGCCCCTTTTTGCTGCTGAAAGCCCGTGCGCAATCGCGACGGCGCATCTACCGAACGCGCGCGCCGAACACGCGCGTCTGGCCACTTGGCCGCCGTGAGAACTGCCGAGACGCGTGGGTGCAGGACCGCTAGGAGCAATCAGTATAGGCATGGCCAATGTGTTCGCTGCTGACCGCGCACAGCAGACCGCAGCAGAGCAAGCGTGTGTGAGCCACAGTCTGGCGATGTTTGAAGCGTCAATCTTTTCGCGTCGGTTTAATGGGTGAAATTTAATTTTGACGCTTCCTCACAAAAATTTCGCCGTCAGAGTTTGCCCCCAAAAAAGCGGCGCAACCTCTTCACGTCAAAACTTCCTGAAATGTCAATCTTTCACGTCATTTCAACAACACGTGGATACATACATTCGTAGCTGTACAGCTCAACAATAAGACCTGCAGCCCATCTCTTCTGATTTACATGTAGTCTAGCTCCCCTGAGTTATAAGGCCACCTGGTAAAACACGTACAGCAGTCGGCAGATAGTCTACATGCTGAGGGGCAACGAATAAAACTGCACCTACCGTCGTCGTGCCTGGACCTCGTTGCTCTATGGGACGTTGGGTGGGACGGATCCTCGTTCAAAAGTTGATTGATATATAGTCCATTATTATTATATAACACAGGTAATATTGCCATCAAATAAGTTTAAATAAATCTTAATCTTTACCGCAGTGAGGGCGCTGAAGTAGACGTGAGCGTGGCAGCTTGCAATCAATCCTGTTTTGTAGAAAAATGCACGCTGAATCTATCTTCTACAGTGCCTATCGATAGTACGTGCCTGCGACGCTGCTGCTGCTGCTGCATCTAGAACTCCATGTAGTCGACGTTCACAACACAGTATATATATATACAGCTTTCACCACCTGCAACAACTACAAGTATGTAGGGAAAATGCGAAAATACGGGAGTTTTTCCCACGACGAGACCGGAGCGAGCCGCGCGCTGTACAATACAAGCAAATAGCACAGCGAGCGGCGATTCGACAGATGGGCACCCTCATTTGCCGGTTGCCCGGCCGGTAACCTGGTATCCTGCTCTTCTATTACCGAACGCAGCGCAATTAATTCTGAATCATATCAACCGTGTGCATACGACCATGTCCTTCGGTTCGTTTTTTCTGCTGCCCTAATCCATGACAGCCTACGCGCGTTCGTACACGGACAGCAAAGCGCTGACCGTGCGGGGATCCACCTCGTCTGGCGAGATCGCGCCACTCGCGCCATCCGGACGCACGCGCGCTTGAACCGTCCGACCACGAGAAAGATGCGGAGGTTGTCAGCTGTGGATCCCATGGTTGAGGCCGGTCGGAGACGAGAGTTTTCACCCGATTTCAGACAGGGAAAAAATCGACAAGTGGTTTTTTTTCTCAACGTGTCCTGGGCCGACAACAAGAGACTCTCACAACCTCTCCAGCCCTCTCTGTGTGTTTGTCGATCGATCCCGCCATTTATTTTCCTCTCTCCACAGCAGTACGACCCTTCGTTTCTTCTCTGGATTGGCGACCGGAGGCAAGCTGGATCCATAGCATGGCGAGAGGATCTCGATATCAAGGTGAGCCACAGCAGGGGATAAGCCAGGCCCGTCGGGCCTTTCGCCCCGCAAAGTATGAACGCCGAGAAGCCGCTAGCTATCTATCTTTTGTTGGCGCCTCAAAATAACCGGTGTCTGGTGGTGCGCTGGCCAGGTTGTACGTTCCAAGTATTTGGCCGTGCCGTGTATCCGTAGGAGTCAGCAGGACTGCTGTGGGAGCCACCCTCTCTGGGGCTGTGATGATTCCTGCGTGCAATATGCTCCCGACGGCAAGTGTGGTGCATGCATAGCTCGCCCTCACTCGCGAAAAGATCTTTGGCTGGCGAGTAGTTGAGAGTACAGCAGCAGCGATAAGCGGCGCTTGGTGCACTCTGTCGACCTGTCTGCCCGCCCGAATAGGGCCGAGCTTTGACCCAGCATGTGTGTGCCACTAAGTCTCGCAGTCGCAATCCGTACCCCTGTGTTTTCGTTCACGGGCATGTTTTTGTGGGGAAGCCCTGTTGTTCCACTCAATCAAGAGCAACACGGATATCTGGCTCTTCGAAATCTGTGTCGCAGAACACTTAGACTACAGCAGTCTTGTGGTCTTACGCAGGAAAAAACAAGCGCCCTGGGTGCCCTGTGTGTCGTACTACTGTATACAACGAATGAAAAGTCTACAACAGGTGTACCAGCTTGTTCTGTAAACGAAAAATTCAACAATCGTCCGTTCATCCGTCATGCTGGCGACCGACCGACGGTGCTGCTACATACACCCACCACCCCGTGCATGGCACCACGTCTTTGGAGCTTTACCATTTGTGAAATCTTTCCAATGCAAATCAAATCAAGCAGTATAGTATAGCACATGATGATCCTATCTATGCACATTAATAACCGTATTGTGACACCGCCTTGCACCACCGCCAAATACACAATCCTGCACTCCTTTTTTTTGCGAGATCCCGCACCTACCTCCCCTTTGTCATCTATTTTTTTCTTTAACAACTCCTGCTCATCATCATCGGAGCTCAAAAACCCAAGGTTCATCAGTGAGTGTTCTATCTCCACACAACTACAAACCGCATGATGAGTGGGCTACACCTACTTACAACAAACGTGTGCGTCTGTATTGCCGTCAAAGTATCTACCGTACACACAACAATCCTTCCGTCCTTTCGGCGAGATCCCGCCCCTCCTCTTCTTCCACAGCGACTTTCTTACAAACAGTGCAAAATACATCGAACTCAAACCCAAGAGTAATAATAATAGTCTGATCATCATGTTGTCTGCCCACCACTCAACCAAAGTGGTTGATTCCTTCTGTAACTCTGCACACACACATTTCGTGGCGTCGTCTGCAGGTCACTGCACTAACTATGTAGCAGGTGCGAATACGGCAAGCATTTATTTCCGCTCATCATCACAGCTGTATTGCTGTCGTAAATAAACCACAGGAAGACAGGCCTGATGTTTGTGTCATGTTTATGCTACAGATACATAACAAAATCTATCCGCTCAAGTAATTACATGATTGCCATGTATTCTTCGCGTACTTTACAAGCATTTTCTACGAATTAATATCCAACGCTGGCTGGTTTGGTCGCGCCGTCGCAGGGATCGAACCCGGCGGGCTAGCGCTGACGTATTCCGAGGCGCCACAAGCAGCCGGTGGAGTGGAGCTCGTAGATTCTCCTGCTGGTGCTGGTGCTGGTGGTGCTGCTGCAGGCATCGACGGCTACAGCAACCAAAGCATCACGCCTCCCTCGGCCAACGTGAAGCCCATCAGCAGCCGCAGGCGGTTGACCTCTCTCACCATCCGCAACTATGCCGGTTGCAGCAACGACGAGGACGACGACGACGAGTCTGCCAAGGACAAGAAAAGAAACCAGCCTGTCGTTCATCTCAAGTCAGACGACGGCGACGACGACAAGGCAGAACACCAGCAGCAGCGGCAGCAGCAGCAGCGGCGGCAGCAGCAGCAGCAGCAGCATTGCCCGACGCCGGGGTCTACGGTGCACACCCGATCCACCAGCTCATTCTCTTCTTGGTCTGTGGGCTCAATATACGCTCCTACTCGTGAGGTGAGAAGAACAGGACAAGGAGGGTCTTCTTGGGCTTGGCTTGTATGTAGGCCAAACAACGAGTGGGCGCGGGGGGAGGGAGTCGTGGTACGATAAAAACACGATTGGATGGATTCCGTTCGTATTCCTGAGGATGTCAAGATATCGGAGTAGGACGACGGCAACAACAACAACAACAACAGCGGCCTCTCCTGCACAGGATATATATGGTCGAGCAAACGTGACTTGTCAGAATTTCGGTGGGCGCCACCCAAGAAGAAATGCAACAAAAAAGGGGACGAGCATGCACGACAGACACAACAGCAGTTGCAACATCTATAAGCAGATCCCTCCCCTCTATGGCCGACCAAGTTTACTTGTGAGTTTCTCCGCCCAGGAATGAATGAATCCATATTTAACGTTCGTGTTTTACTTGCTGTTTTAGAGTTGGTTCACAGCTTTGGTCTTGGTTCGGGTTCAAAAAAGACTCGCCCGTCCTCCCTCGTGCTCTATTAGAACCCCCGACCCGTTCTTTTTTCGCACTCAAACAAACATGACAATGACACCTGCGGGAGCACTATAACTATTTCCGCACCCACCTTTGGTGGTAATCACGAACACTCGCCTTGGCCGGGCGAGACCTACTACCTACCGCCGCAGCTCGGTCCTATGCACGCCATGAAAAAAAGCGCCCACACACATCGTGCCCTCCCCGGTCTCACACACTACGCGCCATTGACCACCGCCGCCCTCCTCTGACAACAACCCGAAAAAACGAAGCAGCAGAGTGCCGGCAAGGTCCCCGACATCCGGACCATCGTCGACCTCGCCACCGGCCGAGCGGGTCTCCGAGTGTCGGCGGCGAAGGTCGGCCCGTCGCCGAGCGGCAGCGCCTGCAGTGGCGGCAGCTTGAGCTTCAGCAGCCGCGGCGGCGACAAGCACCCGTGCTCCACGACGACGCCTTCCGGCCCGCACGCGACTCCGGTCAGGCCTCTGCGCCTGGACAAAGCCCTGCCGCCGCCGCCGCCGCTGCCGCACGCGCCGAAGGCGCCGCGGCGGGCTCCGCCGCCGCCCCCGCCGGTTTCACCGCTCAGCCGCCCCCCCCACCTCAGCCCTAGGGACGCCGGCGGGCCTTGTGGCCACGCCCCGAGGGCCTCCGTGGCCACCGTGGCGGAGATGCTGGCGAAGGCGGACGCAGTGGAGGCGTTAATGTTGGCGAACGACGGGGTGGCGACGGCGGCGGAAGCAAAAGCAGAAGCAGAAGCAGAAGCAGCTCGGGCGAAACCCACGGGAGGCGAGAGCACCACTCCCAGCAGCGGAAGAATGAGGAGGCCTCCGCCTTCAAGGCCGCCTCAGCGTGAGCGGCAGCAGCGGCGCGGTCATCATTACGAGGACCAGCGCCGGGATGGCTCGGATCCCGCGCGCTCCGGCCTCCCCGTCGTCGTCAACCCGTACCGCGTCGCCGAAAAGAGCGGGAGCTCTCGCGCCGTGGACGCGAGGCAGCGGCAGAGAAAGGGAGGAGGGCGGCAACGGCGCCGCGCCAAGAAAGACGGGATGCTGGAAGGCGCGGGGGGCGGTTGTAGAAGCGGCGCCAACTTCCGAGGGCGCAGGCGCGGGGGGCAGCAGAAGCAGCAGCACCAGGCCGGAGGGTCCTTGACTGTTGAGTCGAGCCCAACTACGTCGCGCTCTTCCTGGGCTGCGTCTTCCCCTTCGGCTGCCGCTAGCGGCAGCGTGTACACGGTCGACTGGATCTGGCCCGCGAAGGGCCCGCAGAAGCAGCCGCCGCGCCTCGTCTGCCGCTACGACGACGGAACCGACGACGACGTTCTCGCCTGCCCCACTCCCATCGGCAAGATGGACCGCCTGCCAGCGTTCCGCTCCCCATCCTCGTGCTCGTGCTCGTGCTCCCCTTCCTCGTCGTCCCCCCCCCTGCACCCCCCCCCCATTCGGCCTTTCTCTCGTCTCCTCCGCGAGCGTCCCCGGGGTCGGGACGGGAGGGGCGGCGTGGCGCGGGTCACCGGGCGGGCTGCGGAGGAGGAGGAGGCGGAGGCGCTCGAGAGTGCGACGACGGCGCCGACCTCTCCCGCCGGGGCGAGTGTCGCGCTTGTCGGTCGCCGGCGTGCGGCCACGCGGCGTGGGCGGCGGCACTGGAAGCAGCGCAAGCCTCCGCGCAGCGAGCGGCGGCGAGCCGTTCATCGGCGGGGGAGCCGGCGGGAACGACGGCCGGCGGCGGCGGGACGGCCACCACCCCGGCAAACTGCGGGGTTCCGCTGTTCGGGGCGTTCCATCCCGACGGGCACGGCGGGTGGATCGGGTCGCTGTTGCCTTCCCCCCCTCCGGCACCGGCGGGTCCTCCTCCGGCGCCGGCTCCTTCGTGCGCGCCCAAGTTTGGCGGCGAGGGGGGCGAACAAGCGGTCGCCGACGACGAAGACCTGGACGATCTCGCACCGCTGCCCCCGCCACTGCCGGTGCGGTCGGCCAGGCAGAAATCGGCGAGGCGAGCGGCGGGAGGCCTTGCGGCGGGTCGGTCGTCCGGTGTCGGCGGCGGCGGCAGCGGCGGCGGCAGCGGCGGCGGCGGCAACGATGCCGGTGACCACCACCGTGCGGAGGTGGCGACGGTGGCGCAGGCCGGGGGGTGGTGGCGCGTCTTTCGGAGCTGGTTTGAAGGGCCGCAGGCTGACGGGGTATCGCCGGTGCCCCCGTCCACGGCGGCGGCGCCGGCACCGATACCGGCGGCGGCGACGACGATGATGACCCAGGAGGACACCATTTCGGATTTTCTGAACCCCTTTTCGCCTGCCTCTTACAGGCGCTTCTCCGCCTCGCTTGCTGATGCCGGCGCTCCCAGCGACGGGTATGTCAGCGGGGATGGGTTTTTTGGTGGTGGTGGCGGTCGCGATGCTGCTGGTACTCGCCGGTCTCCGGAGATGGCGAAGCTAAATCTCGAGGAGCGCGTCATGGGGTGCGTGTTCGGAGGCAACGACAGCCCGGACGGATACGGGGAGGAGGCGATGATGACGTGGCAACGCGGGCGAGAGATATACGGGGGGGGTCGTCAGGAGGACGGCAGAGGGGAGGTGAAGGAGAGCGAGCCTCCCCCCGCGTGCTTCACCGTTCGTCAGCACCCCCCCCCCTCCCGCCTGCTGCCCGACAACGCCTGGCGCCTACCCGCCGGCGTCGAGGACGCTTCGGGTTCCCCGGCTGCACCTGACAGCGGCACCGCCGACGGGCTGTCGAAACCATTCGGCACCGCTGCCACGCGTGGCGCCGGGATGGCAAGGGCGCGCGCGTTCCGCTCTTCTCCGTCCCTGCGGCCGCCGGGGACGCCGCGCTCGTCGCCGCGCAGGGTTACGGCGGCCGCCCGCTCCGCCTGGTTGGCCCGCTCCGCCTCCGACACTTGTGCCGCCGTCGACAGAGTCACCGCTAGAGCCTGGCTGGCCCGTTCCGCTTCCGACTGCGCTGCCGCGGTCGCCAGGGCTAACGCTAACGCTGCGGCTTACGCCGACGCAGCGGACGCCGCCGCCGCCGCCGCCGCCCTCGCCGAACAGGCGTCCGTCGCGGCCCGCGCCGCCGCCGAAACTGCCATAGAAGCTCGCGACGCGCTTGTTTTTAGCGACTCCATCAACGCTGTGGCGAGGGCCTGATGGACAGACAGGGGTGGGAC